TCAGTAAACTATCAATTATTAACATGGCAAGATGAATATTCAATCGACCCCGATAACTCAAACCCCCCGCTAACCAGCTCGAACTGTTTTTCGTTTCTCTTTCTATTGTAATAATAATAATAATAATAATAATAATAATAATAATAATAATAATAACAATAGTAATAATAATGGTAATAATAATAACAACAACAACAACAACAACAACAACAATAATAATAATAACAACAATAAAATACCGTATTAAAGTTGTGTTTTGAACATTCGGTTGTTTCTCAAAAGAGAAATAAGCGCCCTGTCCCTAATAAGTGCCCTGTTCGTAGGGTCTTGGTAAAGAGAGTCATTTTAATATGCGTTGGTCTTCAACACGGTTGCAAGGTCTTCTGGGACTTAAAAAGTCAATTTGGCGGGAAAACACAAGAAACGCGCGAAAAAGCTACCTTGTGTCCCATCATTCATTGCGGGTAAGCGATCCATCCATTATGGCGGCCAGCAGTAAAGAAGAAAGTTTGGCGAATCTATTCGAATTACAAGACAAAGAGAGACTAGAGTGCGACCTCTATGTTTCAGGTGGAACTAGGTACAAGGGAAGAGAGAGTAATGCTCTTTTGGTGTTAAACAAATTCAGAATGGAAGGAGAAGCAGGTTTTTGCGATCTGATCTTGGAGGTGGAAGGTCGACAGTTGGCAACTCATCGCTGCGTTTTGGCAGCAAACAGTCAATTCTTTTACACCATGTTCAGTAGTGGAATGAAAGAATCGAATCAAACACTTTTGAGCCTGAAGTTGGTTTCATTTCAATCCATGTCACTTATCTTGGATTATTTCTATACGCGAGAAATTGTCATAAATGACGAAAACGTGCACGACTTACTCAATGATTCAAGCTTCTTACTTGTGACGCCCGTGAAGAACGCTTGTATAGAGGTTCTATCCAGAAGGCTGGGCAGTGATAATTGCTTTAGTATTATGCAGATAGCCGAGCAGTTTGGCGCTGACATACTTGCAAAAAGGGCAAAGGATTTCATTAAACTTAACTTTTCCATTGTGGTGAACAGTGAAGAATTTGTCTCCATTTCGCAGGAGGAATTAGTGCACTTCATATCAAGTGATGATATACAAGTAGAAAAGGAGGAGGAAGTCTACCAGTGTGTGTTAAAATGGGTTAAACATGAGGCAAGCCGTTTGGCTGTTTTACCTGAGCTACTGAAACACCTACGACAAGGCTCACTGCCAAAAGGATTCCTTGAATCAGAGCTGACCAAAGAACCACAACTGGTGGTGGCAGATAGTCATGCTGTTCCTCCCTCTAAGAAAGTTAAGAAAACTAAGGGGACCAAAAGATCAAGAAAAGCAAAGAGTGTTAAATCTGCAAAGGGGCAGCAGTTGAGACCATCTACAGAGATTCGCGACATCATGATTGGAATTGGCACTGGAGATTGCCGTAAAACATTTTGTTATGATTTGAAAAACAAGCAAGTTATGGCTCTTGGAGACTTATCATTATTTCAGTTTGGCCCACAAGTGGCGGTAGTTGGACGGACAGTATATTTAGTCGGGGGACAAAAATTGACCAGTGCAAGTGTAAAAAAGGTGAATGCAGCATGTTTTGAAGATGCAAAGAAACTGAAGTTTTCAGCAGGTGTAAAGATGGCGCCTGAGTGGAAAGAAAAGGCACCTTGTGAAGAAGCCAGATCAAAGGCATCTCTTGTGGCTCTTGATGGGCTACTGTATTACATTGGTGGGTGGAATTTACCAAGTGGGTGTACCAACACAGTGGAATGTTACAATCCTGAAATGAATGAGTGGAATTTCTGTGCAGGACTTAACAAAGCTAGATGCAAGTCAGGCTGTGTGGCAACTGAGAAGCACATTTTCATTATTGGTGGAGGAACAACCCTTGAACAACAAAGAGATTCAATGCTGCCAAGTGTTGAAAAATTCAACCCAGTAGGAAATTCTTGGTCATATGTTTCCCCTTTAAATGAAGCAAGGTCAGAGCCAGGATGTGTTTACTGGAGTGGCAAGATCTATGTGATTGGAGGAATCGATAACACTGGTTTCCAAACTTCAAGCTGTGAAGTGTATTCTCCAATCACAGATGAATGGGAAGCCATTGCACAACTGCCTTACCCTCATAGTGGAGTCAACAATGTCATCATTGTCAGAAACCAGGTTACTGTTCCTCTTCAGCTTGGTACAACAGATTATTCCTGTGATGCTTTGAAATACAGCATACGGTCAAAAAAGTGGCAGAAGGTCAAGAGTCTTGGTCCAAGTGACAAAGTAGTTTCATTTACCCTCTGCACTATGAAACTTCCTGCACTGATTTTGCAAAGAATGCCAAAAGAGGGTTGCCCAGAGGTTTTCTTTGGAGATGGTTTTGATAGTGAAGAAGGAGATTGGTATTACTCTAGTGACAGTGATAGCTCAAGTTTCTTTGGATGGGATTCCCCGAATGATTCTGACAATCTTTACATTGAGTCTGATGGTGGTGATGAAATTTTTTGAAGTGTGTCATGTTATTGACATTTGTATCATATTTTAACAAATCAAGACAGGCATATTACAATTTATACCTTGCCATAGAAAATACAGCCTATCAGAGTACAGGAAAGCCATTGTACATTTGACAGTATTGCATCCTACCTTCCCATCATACGCTGCGCGTATGTCGCATTGATTGTGTTGGTCACTGTATTTCTAAGGCATGGTATAAAATAGTTATGCAATGCTCTCTCATGGTATACCATGAAATATCCCACTTGTCACTTGTATTTTCTTGGTATACACACTGGCCTAAAGGCTTGTGTGTATACCAAGAAAATACAAGTGGTTTGTAGGATTATTCCATATTACACCTTTCAAAAGTGTTGCATAACTAGTATGTATTAAGGGGTTGATGAACTTAGGGAAAAATATTTACCACTTTTATTCATCTTTCCCAGTGAAGAATGATATAAAATGTATGGAAGGAATTAAGGAGAAATTGGTATCTTCTCAAGGGGTAATATTGCATGAAAAAAATGATTAACACTTGAGATTCTGTGATTTTTAGTACCAGTACATACTTCTGTTTCATACAAAACACTAATTTTGGAGCTAATCCAGTCAAGGCTAGCCAAGCAAATTGTTTGCAAAATGACAAAAAGCATTCAAGTGGTAAAGCAGTAAAAAATGGTAACAAATTTGGTGCTTCTGTGCAGCTGGCCAGAACTGATAATTTATCAGAAATTGTTTCTAAATATAAATACGCAGGTGAAGAACTCGGTTTGTGAACAAGAAACCTCTGTTCATGCAGGCTAGGCAGATAATGAAAACTCAACAAGACACAAGTGTTTTGGAGTGAGCATACCCTTGTCAGAAAACCCAGTTTACAAAATCCAAGGTGGCAAAGGCTGGGGGCTGCATTTAGTATGTTTTATATGTACAGTAGAGTCCCAACTTTTTCAAACCTCTAAGGAAAACANAGAACTGGGTTTGTGAACAAGAAACCTCTGTTCATGCAGGCTAGGCAGATAATGAAAACTCAACAAGACATAAGTGTTTTGAAGTGAGCATACCCTTGTCAGAAAACCCAGTTTACAAAATCTAAGGTGGCAAAGGCTGGGGGCTGCATTTAGTATGTTTTATATGTACAGTAGAGTCCCAACTTTTTCAAACCTCTAAGGAAAACAATTAATATTGGTTTAAAAAATCACAGTTCGAGAAATCAGATGTAAAACTAAAGTGTTCAACCAATGGGGCAGGAAACAACTTTTAGTTCGAGTTACTAAAAGGCTCATAGGTTTGAGAAATCAGAATTCCACAGAAGCTGCATTAGTCTTGCATTAACATGGAGACTTTGCTCAAGAAGCAAATCTTTTGAAAGTTCATTAATAAATTGCAAGATAAAAATATATTTCCAGAAAAAAAATCTTGTTATTATCTAAAACCTAAGGAAAAGCTTCAGTACTTTACAACAGCTTCAAGCAAGTGGGGAAAGGGAATGTTTATTAGAAAGGTGTTGCTGTTTTACAAAGCACTGAGAATTGGATAGAGTGCTGATGGAATTGGATAGAGTGCTGGTTGAATTCGGTGAAGAAGGGAAGTGCCTTGTTTATCAGCACTTCTTTCAAGCTGAGTTCACCTGCAACAAAGCAATGCTCAGTTTTTTCTAATTTTGCTGTATATGAAAATGCATGCTTTATACATTTCATTTTATAACTGGAGTAGGCTGTTTTGTTTAGTGTACCTTTTTAAGTAATTAGTTCATGTAACTTGCATGTAGACCTGGCCATAGAAGTTTTCAACCTGTTATAGAAGCCAAAAGTAACCAGTAATGTTAGTAAAGTTTGTTATCGATGCCATTTTTGATTGTAGTAGAGTACTCACTGAGGTAGATCTTTGGTCAAAGATCAAAGGGTATTTTAACAAATACAATATATTAGTTTTTTGAAACTTATTAGTGTTCAGAAACATTGTTGAAGAACTTTTTTCCAAAGACTGTAGAGCTACAATATTCACGACATAATTTTAATTAAGCCAGAGGAAAAGAATAATTAAATTAATATAATTGAAGGATTTAGTGATAACCTGATATTGTTATAGTTTCTTTTCATGAGCGTTTCTGGTTTACTTAGTGTATATTGGTTTGCGTATGTCCTGATCACTTTGAAACCTCCCCCCCCCCCCCCCCCCAGGGCAACACTCCCTTGACATTTGAAGTTTTTAGTTTCCTACACTGACCCCAGAGGTTTTCTTTCTTTTTGTTATTAGAGCCTTGTTTTCACTGTTTCACTTCTCACATTTGATTGAAAAATAGAAAAAAGATAACCTCTGTAAACACCAAAAGTTCTGTTGAAACTACGACATTAACTGTTCAAATACCAATATCCCTGGGACATGAATAACAATGAGCAATGTACCAAGCATTGTTTTTTCTATATCAGCAAAACATTTAAGTTAAGTCATTAAATTTTTACAAGAAAAATTTTATATTTATCTGATATAAACTTTTCAATCCACAATGTTACAAAATAATGAGATTGTCTTGTCCACCGACCCCTCTCGTTTGGTATGACATTGCTAACCCCAATACAGGGGTGGATTTGGGGAGGGGGCTGGCTTGGTTGGCTAGTTACGTTGGTTCGATTTTCAGGCGTTTTGTGAGCCCGCGTTCCTTGCGTTACCCCCTCCAAAACATTCTCGTCTCCAGAGGCTGCGCTCCTTTTGGTCAGCACCTCCTGGTCAGCACCAAGAATCGCGATCTCTGGGCCGGTCCAACACCGGAAGTCCGTGATTCACGGAGTACCCGTCAAATCTGGTAAATCTGATTGGCTGACATTATGAAACGAGTACTCTGCGCATGCTCAGACCAAAAGGAGCGCGGCTTCTGAGGACGAGAATGCTCCTAAAACGGCTAGCATGTGAGCCAAGCTCTCAAATATCTTCGGAAATTAAAGTTAACAAACCTTACGGTAATATTGGAAATTCGGGTAATCTTGATATTTCTGGTCAATCTTAAATTGTGATTGGTGAAAAGTTCCTGCTTGCCCCTCCAGCGAATAGGGTGACGAAACCTAACTGCAAGGCTGGCACTGCGGCAGCATCCCACAGAAAGTGTACGTTTTGTTTCTTGCTTCGTGTGGAACTCTGCATGTGAATTTGGAGCTTCAATAGAAAAGAGCCTTCCCCAGTGCCCTCTTCCTTCTCTGTTGTCCGCGTGCACCGCGCGCTTTGCATTTGCGGCTCACCACGAAGCCCGCGTATAATCGGATACACTACTGAGAAGGCTTCTTCGAACAAGAGAGAGCTGGTGTGTAACTGCTGTCACATTAACATGAAAAAAAGACAACTCTTCCACTGTTGAACGTACGTCTTGGTCATTTTCCTCATTTCGTTTTTGAACGGCCTTTATAGTGAGCAGTATGACAACTATGACCTACGATGTCATGCCCTCCTGGGAGAAAACAAAAGAGTATCCGGCTAATGCCAGGAGTCAGTTACCATTTAGCCAAAACAACAGGAAATTTCAGAGATTGTTTGGAAAATTGTCCCATGGAAGATAGTAAAGCATCTACCGTCAGAAATGCTTCTTTTTACTTCTTTCCCAGACACTTGTTCACTATTTTTTGTTTTTGTTTTTGAGAGGAGAACTGCGGGGGTTTTGTGAGCCGAGGTAGGAGTGACATGGCGGCTCAGCTTCCAGAAAATCCCTTTGCCATTTTTATCACGATTTTTTTTCTTCAGAAAGCAGAAACAAAATTAGGCGCCTTGGCGAAATTATGTTGAGGTCACAGTCTGTATTTGAGGCTGGGCTAGGCTAAAATAACTCGGTAGCAACTGAAGCCGCTTAGATCGTTCAAAAAAGTCATTTATACATGTGCTTTTCAAAAAATGCAGCCACTAAGGCATTCCGGATTTCCGAGGGTAATTAATAATTTCCCGCCTGTAATAAATGAGGGGGCACTCCTCACTGCAGATTTTTTTTAGTTTGGTACCCCCGCTCCAGATCGAGGGCTCCAGAGTTGACTTTACCTCACGTCTCGCTGATGTTTCAATTATATGAAATGCCATTTCAATTATACGAGTACGTTCGGATATTGATAAGCCGGCCGCTTTCTTACAAAATGAAAATTAGATTACAAGCGGCCGGCTTATCAATAAAATACAGTTAAAGTTGGGGGTTATGGCTTGACACCCTTCAAGAATTATAAATTCACATTTATGTCCTTGATAGATCCCGCAGAAATAACTCAAACAGAAATACAGATTTATTTGAAAATCAAAATTTGTGTTTTTCTGTACGCTAAGTTGTCGTGGATACAGTTACTTCGTTCGTCTATACAGCTGATCGTTACGTACTTCCGGTGGCGTGCTGAATGTTCATTGGTCGAGATCTTTTTCACGTGTCAATCAATATTGTACGCATGCTCTCTGTTTGAGAAGAACTTTTCTTGGACTTTTCTGTTCCTGAAAGTCGGCGGTAGTTCTTCTTGAGAAAGGGTTAGCTTTGAGCTGAAACTGTGCGTGTTCTTCCTTCGCTAAAGGGCTCTTTTGGGCATCAAGATGCAGCCTCTCGATCCTACAACTCTGGCAATCATTGCCGTGGTCGTAGCCCTCGTACTTTCTGCACTTCTCTTACTTCTGTTTGCAACTCGCGAGGAAAAATACGAGGATGTACTGGCGGCGCAGCGCTCTGAACAAGAGGCCTATCTGGCGCGCACCGCTTCTGCAAAGCCTGTAAAGCAACGGAAGAAAGTGGGAAAGGGCAAGAAAAAGTATTCAGATGAGGGAGAAGTACTGGAGGAAATTTCATCGCCTCAAGTCGAAGAGGCGATCGAGGCAAGCGCTTCGAATGCGGACGATGAAGGCTTTCCTCCATCAGATGAATATTCCAAAGATCGTCCTGGAATGCGCACTGATGAGAATATACCACTCGCTGAAGAAAAGCCAAGCTCTGGTGTCTTAAAAGAGCGCCAAGGGAAAAAGAAGGCAAAGAAAAATGTTCCAAAAGAGGAGGTTGTTTCCGTGACCGAAAGCCCTGCATTCGAAAGGCCACGTGAGGACGTGGAAGAAGTTGTTACTGAAGTTGATGTTGTCGCCTCAGTGGAAAGCGAGCCAGACAAACCTGTGGATTTCGAAATTGAGGGGCAGAAATTTCCCGAAAACAACGGAACAGCAACTTCAGGCAAGAAGACGAAGGCTAAAGCCAAAATTACCAAGGACAAGGGACCTATTCAACAAGGTGAGCTTAGATTTGACTGCATGTTATGGTGTCGTATAATATTTTCCCGTCGTAGATTTCTATCCTATTTCCAAACCTTTTTCTAATTCGTCTAGCGACGAAGTCGATCCATTTTATCGGCGTTGATAATTTTTATTGCTCGTCTCACAGCGGAAGTGAAGATTTCCTTTTCAAATGGTCGATAGTCTGAATTTAAATCAAAGTTGTGCACTTGAACGGATGAAAAGTCAACGTGGCAGATCGCGAGAGATTGTGGTAAAAGAGAAGATATTTATTATGATGGGCAAAGATCAATCCGATCATTACGTAAGATTTATTGGATTACACGCGAAAACTCGAGATTTCAAGGATAGTGTCTTCAAATATCGTTTTATTTGAATGAATAAATTATTCAGTCAAATTGTTGGTTGTTTCGCGGATGTTAACGTTTAATGGCAGAAAATAAACATCTCTGTGCAATATCTCTTGTTTTCTGAAACGATTTGAAATTGTTGAGACGAGCAAAAACGTTAAATGAGGGTACATTACTTTCTAACTCCCAGGTCTTCCAATTTTGAAATTGTTGAACTATCGATATACAACTATACATGTACATGTATTTTTGTAATTGTTTAATTTTCCATCCCCTTTTTGGATATACAAGAACCCACCTCTTGAATAACATTTAACCAGCCTTTTTGCGGTGTAACTAACGAATGATGTCCTTTATGAAGTTTTTTCGTTTAAAAGAAAAGTCATAATGACTGTACAATAGAAAATTCATTAGTTGCAATAAACCGTATTTTAACAACTCAAAATGTACATTGTTTTCCATATTGCTGAAGTTGTGCAATGAATAAATAATTGTATGTCTCCTGCGGTTGTAAAATGTGTATCAATAACATCATTGTAAATAATTGTTGTAAAACTTTTCCAAACGGTTTAGAGTTTTATAGTTTAAATTTTTAGTTTTTCTTTGTGAAGTATTTTTTTTGTTGTTGAAAACAAAAAACAAAAACATGGTTAACATGGTTAACTCCAAGATATTAATGAGGTGAAATATGAAATACATTTTTTCCTGAATTGAAGCAATTGTTTCAAGAAATTTGTTACATGTTTTGTCAGAAGATTTTTTTCTTAGCACTGAATTGTACAAAAATATTTTAGTCCATCTAAGTTTTCTAGTACTTAAAAATCAATGATGTACATAATATCATGGCTATATTACTTATTTCTCTGGCAAACCAGAAATATTCCTCATGCTTGCAGAAGGTTGTTTATTTTGATGGAAAACAATGTGTAGCGCTAACACTCGAATCATGTACTGACAGTCAGTCTTACACAGTTGTGTTTATTCTAAAACTCATACAAGGTTGTATCAGACTGCTGTCAAAACTTTGACTTGAGTAATATGTCTTTATTGTGTTGGATTGCTCACCTAGGTGATGTGAGTTCTAAACGTCTTATGGAGATGGTGACATCTTCTAACCTCAACTCAGTGGAAATTCAAGCTTTGATTGACGTTTTGTTGAACAAACAAGGAGATAATAGCCAGTGGAAAAAGGTATGATGCCACAAAGTGTCTGGACAGGGAAAGAACAAAATAAATATTCAGTTTAAACTTCACTTATTCTTATCATCCATAACTAGTTTTCTTTCTTTCTTCTAACTGCAGCAAGTTTTGCTAATAGACGTCACAGTGAAATCTCTAGTAATTATCACCTCTTTACAATGGCCAGGACATCATCTAGTTTCGTGTTTGCCCACCCCTATTCATCATTTAGTTAATTCTGCCCCAGTGGCCAATGTGGAATGCTAAGGTTCAGTTGTGCATTTAGATCTTGGGTGCTTTCTATTATGTCAGACTAACCAAGGAAAATTGAACAACAACGACATTTTCAGGTCATGTTAGTGCTCTTGCAAGGTCTCACATGAATGGCTTGAAACCCTTTGAGAGGACAATAGAACAAACAACAAAAACAATGCCCCCTAACAATATCAGCTGCTGCAATGATGACAAATAGAATTTCAAGCTTACGAGAGCTGCTATACTACTGACATTTTCCAATCAAGGGGGGTTAACCAAGAAGAATGGCCCTTACCATTTTCATTTCCTTTCCCCAATCACCAACACATGTGAAATCTGCTGATGAGAAGTATGGCAATGAAGGGATTTGTCAAGATGGAATGGCAAGTTTCGTAGAACCAAACTGACTGATCAATTTGGACAACCTCTAAAATTAATAGGAGAATTAGAGTATGTTTGATAATGCATGTTAAACTGCGTTAGCAGTTTGGGGTTACAGGACTTTGTTGATTTGTTGCTTTTGCTGTTTTTACAACAGTCTTCCTCAAAAGGTGACACTGTAGAGGTATTGAAAAAACAGCTCCAGGAAAAAGAGAGTCAGATATTAGAAGGTATGTGGAGTTAGAGTACTGCTACCATAAGCACAGTAGCTGGGCCATCAGTAAACAGGGCTTTGCGGCATTTGAAATGTCATTTGAAACTTTATTGCAATTCCCATGATCTTAGCTACAGATGCTGTGTAAATATAGTTCTGTGGTTATACGCATGGGATAAAGCACTGGCCTGAAAGTCAGTTGCGGAAGTTACAAGGAGAAAGCTTCAATGAACCTTCCACTTCTGATGATTCAGACATTTTTTCTTACAGAAAGTGAAGTTGATAATGAAATAAGAAGTTGGTCTTGGAACATTAATCTGAGAGATCAGGCCTGTTTAGACATCAGTTTATCAATGTATGAGTATTAAAACACGGTGTCAGTTTGAAAGGATTTGTTTGAAAAAATCCTGAGGGCTAAATGATAGAAAAACTGCAACAAAGAGAGTAAACACCATCAAGTGGCAATGTTAGAAGGCAATCCTAAATTCCAAATATAGTTTGAAACCTTACATAGTTACAAATTTTATCAGTCTTGGAAAATTTTAAAATTGTTTTTTTGTCTTTTCAGAACGTCAGCAATCTCAAAATGCTGCTACTAAGTTAAGGGAGCTGAGGTAGGAAGACAAGGAGCATACAGTGTAACTGCGTAGGAGAGCTTAAATAATGAAATGATAAAAATGAGCAGTTTTAATACCTTTCTCCTGTTGTCATCTCTTACGCAAACTTACCAGGAAGCTGCCACCCATATGCCAAACAGAACACTTGCACTAACTTGTACGTAGGCCTTTGCATCTTGCAAAAAAAATTCATGTACAAGATGATAACAGGAGACAAAGGTAAACTATTCAATCTTTTTATTCTTTTTTTTTTTACTCCTATCCTACTCAACTAGATTATATGCTCCCTGTGATAAGAACAGTGACATGCATTTTAACCACATAATAATAATACAACAAGTGTCATTTAAACCTTATTAAGAGGCTGTCCGTGTAAGAACCGACCACTCGATTTTCAAAACATCATAATTAATTGTTCTTGAGCCTGATTTTAAATATTTTACCGTTAATCGAAAGAAAAAACATGAAATAAAATTATCTGTAAGTTTTATTGTATTTGAGTAAAAGCGTAANTCGCTCCCAATGTGTGGCTTCATAGCTCAGTTGGTAGAGCATCGCACCGGTATCGCGGAGGTCATGGGTTCGAATCCCGTTGACGCCCTGATTTTTTCAGGCTTCTTCTTTCCAATTGCTTAAATTGGAAAATTTACTGCGATGATCATTCTCCACTTCCGGAAAGGAAACTGTAAGACACAAGGGCAAAATTTGAAAGTGTTTGCCCAACTTTTTCAATTTGAGAGTAACCCTTGTGCAAGTGGTAATACTTGGTAACATCACTTTAACAGCTTCTGTGCACTAGTAAGTAAGACAATCATTAGGTTTCCTTTGTTGTAAATAATATTATATCTTTTGGCTCCTAGTGTTGCTTTAAATTCTCTGTTGACCCATACCCATGACCACACAATTTGCAGACAGTCTTATCAAGTTACCTTAAGGCTACTTCACCTTTCTATATCCTTTCATTATCTGTGTAAATGTTGCAATGTGAAATCTTCTCTCAGTGTATGTAACTGGGTGTAAAAAATGTCTTTCCCGGTAGGCTAAAGAGATCCAAGCTCTTCAAGCACGAATGCAGGCTTCTCATGAAAGCCATGCTTTAGAGGTTCAAACTTTGCAAGCTCAGATGCATCAGTTGCAGGATGTGGTGGCATCATCAAATGTGGGCAATATACAGCGTCTTCAGGAGGTACAAAAATTGATAAATAAACTGAATACCAAAAACATGCCTTATATTGTGTCCTGGAGAAGTATTTGCCTCTCATATAAATGTTCTGATTCAGCTTGTTCACCAGTTTTGCATAGGCATACATTAACATTGTAAGTACATGTAACCTCCCCTTTCTTATCTCTCTCCCTCACTCTCTATCATCTCTTGATCTTTACTGTTTTTTCTTCCCTTCCAGTCTCTGCTGTACCCACTCTCTCTCCCCCCTATCCCCTTCCTGACCTCCTACCTTGCTATCTTTCTTACTTTTGTAGGTATAGCAAGTGATGTGAAGTACAGGTAGCTCTAAAGCCATAACCTCATTCATGAGGAAATGTGTTGTTTCCTTTGCTCACCTTTTTCTCTTTATTATAACTGTACTTAGGAGAATGCTCAGCTGAAGAATGCATCCATGAGAGCAGCACAACTGTAAGTTTAGTATTTTTTATCTTTTTATAATGATTCATGTGTGCCTAACATAAAGTCAAGCATCACTGATCAGTGATTGTTTGCACAGGGAGAGAACAATCACTTTGTAAGTTCAAGTTGTTCTGACTGTAGCTATATCAGTGAGTGCTTTCCTAAAAGATACCACCATGGTATATAAATAAGTGCCCCCATTCCAGCCACCCGCCCTCAACACCCCCGGTTTTTATCTACTAATAGTTTGGCCCTGTTACATGTATGTAAGCCTACCCAATCATTTTTCAATAACAACTCCATTAGTCCTGGGAGTACATTTGAGATCATCTGTCCTTGAAAGAAAAAACCCTCTGTCCATAGTTCACCTTCCTTCTGAACAGCTTACTTCATATACCTATTAACAAACAGCTGTCGTGAATGGGTGTCAGGCCAAAAGACAAATAAGCACCCGACCCTGATAAGAGCTTTGTCTCTAGGAGGTACCCTCCCTTAAGCTTTGAAATGTACCACAAGTGACGCGTACATAAAATTGAATCATTGTGGTATGTCAGCTCAGCCATGTCAAAGGTAACAGTGACAGTCATACTATTGAGGCTCAGCATTTTTTTAGGCAAACAATTAAAATCATTCAGCACATATATTTTGAGTGTTAAGTAAGCAGCAGGCATATTTTGTTGTTGTTTTTTCCTCAGAACTGCAGACAAAGAATCACTGACATCTGAACTGACCAAACTGCAACAGTCATATCGGCTTGTAAAGGGAGAGCTGAGCACCAAAACAGAGCAGTTGACTCAGAGCGAGGAAAGAGTTCGACAGATGACCATTCATCAGAACAGTGTGGTATGACACAAGAGAACACATATTTTACATGTATCCTACTCTAGACAACAGTGTCTTTGTTCAACACTTTTATCAGTAATAAATCTGGACAAGTTCAATTATAACACGAGAATATTTACCCTTGCTGAAGGAAGACATAACTGAATGAGTATCTGAAGAAACTTGTGTTGTCTATATTCTACTCTGTTTTAACATATTTCCATTTAGTTAAATATTAGTGGTGGTGTATTATTTTGAGGGGTGTTTTTATTTGGATGGTCAGTCAAGCTGATATGTTTGCTGAAGCATTGAACAAGATGTTAAGATCTATTATTATCAACAGCAATATTTCATTCTTTATGATGTTGTGTACATCGAAACGAGGAATAGCATTACTTTTAATATTTTTTGCTTTGATTTGTAGTAATTTTTAACAAGTTTGTTGCATATATATAATTAATGTAATTTTTTTAATGCAATGTAAATGAAAGAATAAGAAATCTGTTCAGCACCTTTCCGCTATTTCCATTTAGGCTATATTAGGAGCAACCCTTTACAATACCTCATGTTGCCTATTGGAATGTTTTTTGCGTCAAATGTAACTTGGTGTGCACTTTTTGTTGTTGTTTTATTGGACAGAAAGAAGCAGATAATGCGTTGTCAAAGCGTCTGGCTGAAGTAAATGAAGAGCTTCACAAGTCTCAGGCTAGAAATAGCGCGTTACAAAAAGATCTCAACACCACTGCACAGGTACTTAGGACAGAAGAGGCTAAAACAGCAGAGTTGAACAATCGTCTGAACGAATTAGCTGCTGCCGACACAAATCAAGCTGATGCTATGAATTCTTTGACTGCTAAACTTCAAGAGGCAACGGCAAGGATTTCTGAACTGCAAAAGATGTTCACTGATGTTGAAAATCAGTTGAAGGACTCGCAAGTGATCCAGATGCAGAAAGATAAGGAGATACAGGTATATCCTGGCCATGATTTTTTAACACTGCTCATAGCTGCAGGAATGTAGCTTGTGTTTGTTGTTTTGTATGAATCAGTGAATACTGCAACTTGTAATGACTTTGTTCTCAGGGCTGTCATTAAGAAATGTAACCCTGAACATTTGTCATGGCTGGGTATGCTTGACAGGCCCTTGATGTTGTGGGTCTGTTTTTGGTACAATTCAACCACAAAGTAACAAGTTTGTTATGGGTGTGAAGATCAAGGCTACAGCTGACTCAAAACTTAAATGTCAGCCCTGGTTCTGACAAACCTTGGTCACCCCCCATTTCTGATGGTGTACCTCTCCAGAAGGTGTTATTTGCTTCAGCTACCAAAATTGACCTACTTTCTGAATGAATTAACTGCCCTCAAAGTGACTCCAACAAATTACTCTAGTTGCTTGTTTCTTAGTTTGTGTGTGATTATACTCGATCCATTAAGATGAGTGAATGTTTTCAAATGACCTTTCTTCACTGCAATGCAGGTTCTTCAAGAAGAACTTAGATTGGCAAAGGAAAGTGTGCAAACCTCTGTCAGCAATCATGTTAGCAGTGCTGCCCCAGCTGAGGTAAGGCTTGCTTAGAGTTCAAGAAGTCTGCGAGAAGCACAGTAGTCGGAAGAAGAGAAGCAGTGGTTAATACACTGGACTGTGAATTCAGATGATCATGCTTAGCTCTAGGCAGGGCCCTTGAGTCTTGTTTACAACATTTAACCCAAAGATGGATGGAATATGACCGGGTTGTGCTAGATGTTAGCAGCTGACAAAATGCCAAGGAAGTAACAATGCTCGTAGCCGCTAAACCATCCCGTTAGTAACTGGTGTCTTAATTAAGCTAGCTAACTTCAATTATTTGCTTTTTTTGTTGTTTTGATCATGGTGACCTGTTTCTGATGGACGTTTGTGTTATAGAATGGCAAAGAACCTGATGTGTCTTCCAAGATCCATCAAGATGCGTAAGTAGTTGTAATTAGTAAATTTCTTTAATCCAAGGGTGTCGAAAGTGGGCAGCTGCTGGAAATAATCAACATCCACTTCATGAACTTGGCCAGTTACTCTGCTAGTTTGCCTGATTCTTCAGAAAAGGATGTACTGTTCTTTTGTAAAACATGTGCTTTTGGAATAATGCCACTTATTTTCAAAACGTTTTGTCATCCCTGATCATCAGTTCTGGTGTATACCTGATCATAATCCATAGAGTTTCTAGATGAACTCAGCTACTGATAGTCATCACTAGTAGTTCAAAGTAGTTTACTTGCTTATATAGATGTAAGATTATGTGAACATGCAATTCACTTCATTTTCATGAATTGTAGGTTAAAGGTTAAAGAAGATGTCATTGCGGAGTTGCACGGCAATGTGCTCAAGAAAGATGAGGAAATTGCCAGTCTTAGAAGCCTGTTAGATGAGCAAAAGAACAAGAATAATGTAAGAAGTTCTATTTTCTTACCTCCAATAGGCAATGCTATTTTGAAAACTCATTTGGATTTGAGCAAAGCATGTGTACCATAAAAATTCCACAACTCCAGGGTAGCTGGCTGCCAGGGAAAGTCATCATCACCATCTACTTCATGATATTTGTTTGATCCTCCAGAAACAGATAGCAAAGTCAACCATCCACTCCAACAGTAAACTTCCTCTTTCAAAACTTTGTGACAATCCTGAACTCCCCTTTTCTAATAAAGTGTTGGTGGTATTTCATATACCTAAAACTACCTGTGTTTGAAATCCCTTCTTACACTCTACTCTATCAGTAATGGGATTTTTTATAGTTCATAATCAACCAAATGTAAGTTTTCACTGACCTGTCTGGTTCCCTTAACTCAAATCACCATGTATGTTGTTGTAATGAACACTTGTTCCTTTCACAAATTACTTTTTTTCGGTCTTTCTGTTTCTATCTCCTTCCTCTGATTTAATTTTGGTTTCCCATGCTTTACCCTTAAATTCCCAAGACTCATCAACCTGCAATTTCTCCGTACAATTATCATTACATAGTGAAGCAAATAGGTGAAGAGAACAGAGAACAGTGCAGTCTGGAAAGAAAGGCACAGCCTTTGCTATGGAGAATTGCTGTTGTGATCTTGGGTCTGAGGGGGTTAAATGGAACAGACCTTTGGTATGATCTCTGAATTGTATTGAAGGTTTAATACAATACAGCACTTGTTCTTTTGTAACTTAGGACCTCCGTAAGAAGAACTGGAAAGCTATGGAAGCCTTAAATGACGCCGAGAAAAATACTCAGGCACAAATAAATAAGGCTGTTGAGGCAGCCAAGGTATTGCCGACCTTCTGCCACTCACTTAACAATATTAACATCTCTTAAATTCTTTCATTCATAATGTCATCCAGTCACTAATAGATTTCACTCTCAAAAACTTGTTAACAATATTAATTTACAAAGTTAATACATACAATGTGCTTTTAGGCATTCATGGTTATACCGGAGGTAGCAAAGTTGTGTCCAAGATCTTGGACCAAGATAGTGGTTTTTCTGTCCATCTATAACCCATTGAGACCTTGAGTTCACTTTACCTTGGCAAAACACTTTACTCCGACAGTGCCCTTATTTACCCAGAAGTATAAATAGGTACCAGTGGATTGCTGGGGGCAACCTAAAAATATAATGCTAGAACAGGTATATGTAACCTTGCTATGGACTAGCATCCCATCCTGGGAGAAGTGTCGATACTTTTAGATACTTCATGCTATTAGTACTTAAGCACTGGTTCCAACAAGTCTCCTGACCTCTCTGATCCCAAGGACTGAAATTAACTTTTCCACCTTATTTGGTGAAAGTAATCACTTCCTGTTAACTTGTTTTGAAATCAGGTTATGGAGTTCGTGTTCTCTTGTTCTTGATTAATTCATGCAAAAATTGCATACAGTTACGTTATGCAGTTCAGCATTTTGTGTGCATGCTTGAGGTTTCCTTCTTCTTATCCTGATGTGTCGTGAAGTCATTACCTGTTCATGTCTTTACAACCTACTGCCATCATAGATACTCAGGATTTTTCCCACGTTAGGTAGATTGCTAGAAAAGTGAAGTGTTTAAAATGCAAACACTATTAACAAAACCTAACATGTGTAAATCATTATTAAGGGAAGTTTAATTTTTGACCAGTAACTGAAATATTCTGGTGAATTTGCTCCTCAGGTGGCAAGCGAGAGTGTTGCTAATGGACAGAATGATGTGTAAGTAGTTGACTAGATCTGTGGTATTATTGATAGGATTAAATTACATTAAAACTGAAAGTAGGTCTGGTTATTATTTCATTTCAGGTTGAAGGAGAGAGAAGACACGATAGAAAAACTCCAAGAAGAACTCAAGGATAAAAAAGAAGAATTTAATAAACTAGAAAAAGTTCTACAACAACAAAAGGAAAAGAACAATGTAAATATTAGTGCTTGTTACTTGTATCGTAATATATAAGGTAATGAACAAGCTAAGGTATTTTGTGAGCAGTAGGCTCTTAATCATTAATTATGGCTTCTCAAAATACCATAGATTAGAGGAGTAAGCCACCAAAGAAGAACTGCAATAATTATTTTATATTATTTTGAATAAGTCAATAGATTTCTAAATTTTTGTTTCACTTGTGTTTGTTATTTTAGGAATTGCGCGAGAAGAACTGGAAGGCAATGGATGCATTGTCAGGAATGGAAAAAAATTTGAACAACAAAATCAAGACTGCTGTGCAAGGCGTCAAGGTATATTTATGGCAAATTTGACAAATTCTGAGGAGGTTTGAAATTCCAGCTCCACTGAGATCCTTTTAGTTTGACAGACAGACAGGCTGACAGACAGACTGACAGACAGACATACAGGCTGACAGACTAACAGACAGACAGACAGGCTGACAGACTGTCAGACAGACTGACTGACTGACTGACTGACTGACAGACTGACAGACAGACATACAGGCTGACAGACAGACAGACTGACAGACAGACAGACAGACAGACAGGCTGACAGACTGACAGACAGACAGACAAAGAGGCACACAGACAGATTGACTGATTGACCAACTGACAGATAGCAGATACCAATTGTGTCAAATATGGGCAAAAACAATCACAAGTGTGAAAGGGCCTTAAACATTGCAGGCTGCAGGCAGTCTTAGAATGATCATCTTTCGCATAGACGAAAAATTAAAATATAAGTAACCACCCATCCATGGCACTTAACTGTTAACACTTTCATTTCAAACATAATTTGTCAATGTTATGTGATTAAATGTTAAATAAGCTAGTTCTTTCATTATTTTCTTGACAGGATGAAAACAAGACACTGCTGAATGAAGAACAAAATGAGACAAAGGTAATTAATAAAACAGTTGCTAGAACCTTTTTTCCTTCTTGAGTTGTGGTATCATCATTTTTGTATGTGTCTGCTTCTTACTGATGTTGTCAGCATTTTGTTCACAGACCATTCTTTGTAGAGTTCATCCAAATGTCATGATAGACACCACTCTGGTGAGTTGAATGCTGACAATAACTAATGGCAAAGGTTGTTGTGGTTTATCTTTCACCTGAGTTCTTGATAAGATTAATACAGTTTTAGAAAACACTTAGTAAAATAGTACCTGCTAAAAGCCATACCTCTAACTAGTAAGTGCCTAGAAAGACAGGACTTAGATGAGATGTTGACGCAATGATGGTGTGAACAAAGAGACTTGGCATTTTTATAATGTAAAATAAATTGAGTAATTTAACTTTCTTTTTCTCCCATTGTTTTCTCATTGAAGTCAAGAACATTTTCTATTTTTTGAGTTATAGAAACAGGTGTGAAAGTTTGGGATAACTTAAAAGAGCTGCGCAGACACTTGCTTGTGACTCATATTCCCTCAGCATTTCTCATTCTCCCAAACTTCCTCTGGAAATATGACTCAAAAGACACATTGCAAATGTTTTCTTTTTCTTAGTTATCAATGACAAAGAGAAGTCAGTGAAGCAGTTTATTTCTAACATTACTCACAATGTTGTTTGTTTTTTGTTTATTTATGCAGCCTTACAGAAAGTGGCTTGGTGAGTTTGAGAAACAAGCATCACAGTCTACCTGTGACAGTCAAGAGGTGAGTAACTGGAGAAATGATTATGTGTTTTTTCCATGTTTTTAGCCGTGTGGGATGTCTTTCAGAGCTAGTGCCACATCTGTGCAGTAAGTGCTGGAATAAAAAAAAATGTATCAGATTTTTGATTACCTTTTCATTGTCAATAATATTAGTGTATATTATGAATTTTAACCTTCCCCAATATTAGCAGCAGACTGCAAGTCTAGACACAGTAATACTGTGATCAATTGATTGATTGATTGATCAATCAATCAATCAAGTAATTGAAGAGTTTTCAGAACCCTTTGTTACAAAATAAATTTTTCCTTTAAGATCAAGTTCAGATTAAGTAAGTGAATCCCTGTCCTTAAGGATCTTCTCTTTGTTGACAAAGTGACTTTACACACTTGCAAAAAACCATTTCTAACCTGTTCAACAGATGTGTTAGTTTGTAGAATGTACGTTGCTCAGTCTGCTTATCATTTCTTCATTTCAGTTGGAAGATCTTACCAAAAAGTTTGAGGATGTTCAAGCACAGAAAGATACTTTAGTGGCAGAATGTGCCCATTACAAAGTAACACTTCAAGAAACGGTGAGTATATAGAGCTATTTAATCAGTATTGGCATTAAGGCTGTGGTCTGAAAAAAAATTACAAGGAGCCCAAAGGTTCCTAACCATGATATCCTGGGTGCCCAGCACTTAAGCTTATGTGAAAAAGTTGCCCTAAGGGGGGACACCTCTAGAGCGTAGGGAGGGGAAGGGGCAACTCTACAGCACAGCTCTGGGATGTTTTTCTTTGAGGGGACTTTATGTTATATATATATATAGCCGCTCAAAAGAGATGATACAGTATTGTTTGTAAATCACTAAAGGCAAAATTCAACTTAATTATTTCATTTTCACCTATCCATTTTCCACATTTTAATGAACGTACTCCACCTCAATCCCTTATTGAGGCATGTAGCCCTACAAGTTTGACACTCTTGCAAAGCAGAAATTTGTGGCACGTCAAAATTTGAATGCGTAACTCACTTCTTGCTCACTTATCACATGTACTTCATGAAAAAGTTTGTTAATCTCACCAAAAACTTTCATAAGCCGAAAAATTGATCTCAATTTAACTTTATTTGTGTAATGTAACCTTTTGTTTTGCGAACAGTAATAATTAGTCTTGAAAAGTTGTGTAAACTAGTCATACAAGTAAAAAAATACTGACATTTTACTTCTTATTAATCAGGAATCATTGCTCAGGAAGTTGGAAGATAATGTTGAATCAGAAATGGATAACTGGCAAAAAATTGTGGAGCGAACTCAACGAGAGCTGAAAGAGGTACTCAGCTTAATGCCTCTACTGGTCTTCACTTTTCAGTAACCTTAGTTTGGGTTCTTGTTCATGGAATTCCCATAATGCCATAGAATTTAGACAACTGAGGCTTGAAAATTATGACAAAAAATAAAAAATTCAGCATTTATCCACAGAAAGCCAGTGTCAAAAAATTACAGAGTTTTAAGTTCATTTTATAATTAAAGCAAATTGGCTTGAAATTCAGATCTTCAAGATATGAATAAAGATTTTGTTTTCAATAGTTATGGTCGAAAAAGGTTTAGCACAACATGTAATTAAGAGGTACTTTTTTTTTGTAGGCCAATGATAGAATATCATCATTAGAGGAAGATCTTCAAAAGACGACAGGATCAGCGTCTTCTCAGTTGGACACAATAGCTTCTTTAGAACTTCATCTCAAAGAGGCGCGAGCAGCTGAGAGTGAAGCTAAGCAACGCTTTACTGAATTACAGGAACAACTTGAAAAATCTACTGTCTCTGAAGATGCAGATAAGATCAAGAAACTCGAAAAAGAACTTGAAGCACTAAGAACTCAAGAAAAGGAACTTACTGATACAATTTCCAGACTAGAATCTACAGAAAAAGAATTAATTAAGTGTAAGAAACAATTAGAAGTTTCAGCCAAGGAAGTTGCTGAACGTGACAATGAATTGAAGACAACAAAGAGTGAACTCATTAAAGCTCAGGGATCAGAAGGAGAACTTAAGAAAAAGGTTGCAGCACTTGAGGAAGCTCTATCCAAGGCTAACAATGACTTGGGCAAATCACAGGTTTGTAACCAACAAGTCATTCTATTTGCTTCAGTTAAACTCTTAATAACTTGTGACTGTTGCCTAGGATTGCTGATGGGCACTACACAGCTACTGACATTTCACAAGGGGTTGAAAGGTCCAAAGTAGCTGAGAGAAGTTACCAAGAGGTGGCAGTGTTTGAAGCAGACTTCACCTTTCCATATATGTCTACACTTACAGGCTGCAGTATTAAAGCAAGAGTGTTGAATTTTTGAGTAACTGTATTTTTTTATAAATAACTGTTCTTGCAAATCTTAGTAAATGATGTAAAGTGCACATTACATTTAAATTAATCTAACTTGCACTCATATTTTAAAGGTAAACATATTTTGATCTTAAAGCGAGGTACTTTGCTTGAGGAAAAATTAACTTAATTTAAGTCTGAACATAACAGTGTTATCAAGACTGTAAAGTAGGGTGAGTAACAGATGTAGTTTGCATAAAGTGTTCACAAGTAAATTAACGTAACGATCTTAAAGCAATGGTCATAAGATAAGCAAGTTTCAATAGGCTAAATTTTAAGACTCTTTAAATGTAATCCTAACTCTTAACCAAATATAAACCCAAATGTAGGAATCGCTCGACAGTATAAACAGCAGCCCTGACAAGAAGAAGAAGGGCCTGAAGGGAGCATTGAATAAAGTCATGTCCAAGGTTTGTAGTGAAGGGCACAGTGCACTGATGTATTCCCAAAGCTGCACTAAACATTCTAGGAAATGTTCTCTCTACTGATGTTTTAAAATCAGTGCATTGCTCTAGGATTTCAATCTATTTATTTTCTGGCAAACCGTCGAAGGAATTTTGCCTTATTTTTCACCTGATTCATTACCATACTATTATGATCCTGACTTCTTTTTTTAACAAAAGTTTGTTAAATGTTGAGAGCCTTCGGGAAGTGCAGGTGATTTGACAAACTTTGTTGAGTACTGATCTTCAAATTGAAGCTATTACTTTTGTTAGGGCAACGTCTATAAAAATAAGTCCTCATCGGAAACTCAACTTAATCCTTGACAAAAGTGTTANCCCCCCCCCCCGAATATAAGCCCTTCTATTTGTTAACAAAGCTATTATTCCGGATATAAGCCCCCTCCCCTGGATATAAGCCCATCTAATGTATAATTGCGTTCCTTTTGCGTTTCTTTACAAACATCAAAATTTTTGATCTAAAGTTATAGTCCAATTAAATAGAGCAATAATAGGGCAGTAGGGTAATGGGGTAAGAGTATAATAGCTCTAAATATAATGGTATGTTAGCTTTAATAAGTTTCTCAGATACGTTTTATCTCGTCGTTATTCCGCTTATATGCCCCCCGCCCCCTCGGACAAAAGCCCCGTTTATAAGCCCACCCAAAACCCCTTATGAAGTTATAGAAGCCCAGGGCGTTAACGTGGGACTTAACGGTACTCTTGTTTTATAGGATCTCAAGAACGCTAAAGAAGACCTAGAAAAGCAAAAGAAAGCTTTAGAAGTTGAATACAAAGAATTAAAGAGACAATCAATTTCTGTTGAAGCGGTAAGTACTTACACTGACCTAATGATTCTGGCTATTGTTTTTATGGCAACAGAATTGCCACCAGCTACTGTAGGTAGCACATGGTCAATCTCGTTAATGAAAGGTGAATGAAATGATCTTTTTGTTATTCCAAGCCTCATACTAGTCTTTACTGCCTTACAGGAAATGACTCAGTCGCAACAGATAGAAAAAGATATGGCCGAAGCAATGAGCGAGGTATGTATCTTACCTTTACAAGAGCAAGGAAGATTCCATTTACAGTTGTTTCGACAAAGATTGTCCCACGAAAGCATGTGTGACAAGGGCGATTGGCATTGTGGGTAGTATCAGTTAAGCATTGCTTGAATGAGGTTCATAGTGTTTCAGCAATGAGGAAGGAGAAATCATGATCCCGATGAGCTCTAAACTTGAGCCCGTGATATGGTCACGTGATACTGGTGAACGGATACCTTGTTTTGCCAGGTACCAATTGACCATTACATGGATGTCCTTCTATCACGCTGAGACACCTTGAGCTTCAATCTAACAACCGTGAACCACTGGTACTCATAACTCCCCTCGACATTGTCGCGTACGCATTATGCTTTTGTAGGGTAACCTTTCTGGAAACAGCTGTATACATTCCAGCATTTCTCTGTTTTCAGATAAGAAAATGGAAGAAAGCGTTTGCCTTTCTTATAGTTACAATAAAAAAAAATCTTTGGGTTGGACATAAATAATTTACATGTAATGAGTAAATTTCAATTTAATCAATGAGTAATTAGTGTCGTAACGCCGTTAGACTTATAACCAACTAAAGTTTAAGTAGTGTAAAATTTAAAAAAAAGATTACTTGAAGTCAATCATGGTTTAAAGGTTTCTTGAACTGTTTTGCAAGTCTATAAGTAAAACTTCTAACATGTTTTGTGTTGCTTCTTAAAAAAACATGCTGCTAGGAGATCTAAGTGAGGAAGAAAATGTTTGAATGATTCAAAATTAACCAAGTGAAGTCTGGTTAAATAATTTTAAACTAAGGACATTTCCTGTACATTATAAATCTTTTTATTGCACTTTTAAATGCATTCAAAATGTTCCTTTAAAAAAATATCTTATCTCGTCTACACAAGGGTGAATTAAAAGTGCATTTTTTTTAATGTGAAGGTGTGGTAAAAAACGCCCAGAGTGCATGTAGTCGTTTAATTGCTTACAAAACCACAAAGCCGCGAGCTTTTCAAAATTTTAATCCACTTCCTCCTTTCAGTTATTGTTTCTTGGCCTGTTAACTATAACATGCCATGACTATAGATGTAGTCCTGGGTGTGTTGTGCATATCTGTTCGGTGCGCAATTTATTCTCCCTTGTGTCGAGAAGTAATGATTAATTGATTCATAATAATGCATACGTCACATTGCTTTCATGTTTAACAGACAGCTTTAAGTCCCGTGAAGCCCCGCCTAGCCCCCAGTGAGAACATACCCAAAGTAAGTACTGCCTACTGCCTGTGGGTCATCCATACGTACGCACACGCACACCCACACCCACATGTAATCAGTTTAGCTGTTGCGAGTAAAAGCCTACGCGACAATACCCAGAGGTATTATGGGTATTTTAAGTACACGGCTGTTTGATAGAAGTTCACGATGTTTCAGTAGGATGTAAGGAAAAGTCGTCAATGCGTGCATGGTGGTTTCTTTTTCATTCGCTTTGGAAAAACACTGTCAACTTCGATAAACTTGTATAATGGTTAACTACCTCTATTCGTCATACCTTTCGGCATTGTCGCGTTTGCTCTGATAACGTTTCGTTTCTCAAAACAGCTATCGTATGTTGCAAAACTCCATAGACATCCTCCAGCTCTTAAACCCCTTTGTCACTGGCAGTAGGTAATTTTGATTTCTCATATGCCTTTTTTTAACTGCAACAGTAAGGTAGGTGTTGCAGCTAAAGGTCTTGATTGGTTGTCTTGACTAAAAACTAAATTCTCCCAAGGAGGATTAAAGAAAGTAAGAGACGGTTGTAAGGAGAATTTTGATTTTCATAACGAATGTCATTTCCTAGAAATTGTAATATGTGCCTGGCATAATGCTTAAACTTTTTAAATTGTCTTGACATGCATTTTGTTAAATAATTGCCTTCAATGAAATTGTTTGTGGTGTGTTCTGTGAAGGACAACAAAGCTTTCATTGGCAATGATTTGACTTTTCACTTCCTCAAAAGGTATCTTTGGTGCACGTTTTGAGAATGAAGAGAAGTCTCATTTTGTCTAAACTATTTGTCCTTTTCTCTGCAACAGCCCGAGTATCATGGAACGTTGAAGCCAGCAGATAACTTTGATGCTGAAAAAGATGCCGAGGCGCTGAGAAAAGCTATGCAGGGATCTGGTGAGGACGGCTTTTGAAATGTTGTTCAACCCGTTGGGACAATTGAATTGTTTGATGAACGTAACAGCTTTTACACGAGATCATTGTGTTGTCTGTTTAGAATTTTTTGTACATGCGGCGGGAAGAGTCTGTTTTCTCCTTTTTGCTTGTAATCTTCGTTTCGTTTGTTTAATGAACTCAACTACTTTTATAAGACATCAGTTTGTTGCCTGTATGGAATTTTATGTAGAGGAGAATAATATGTGACCTTTTGCTTGAAAATTTTCGTTGCCTCGCGTCTCTCCATAGGAAGCGACAAAGATGCTATAGTAGCAGTTCTTGGAGCACGCAGCAACAAACAGCGGCAAGAGATTGCTGCAAAATACCTTCAAAAGTATAATAAGGTAAAGTTGATTCCTCAAAGAGCTTGATTCTCTATTCCAGTTTTTTCCCGTTTTCCAGAGGTTTAGCAGGATGGCAACTGGTTTTGACAAGCAGGCAAAACGTTTTAAACTAAACTTCTTGATACGAAAAATATTCCTCTAAATGGTCAAACAAGGCGGTCAAAATCATCTTCACAGCTGGTCAATTTACCTGGTGCCCAGCCCACAATGAAATCCCCGCATTTCCCCGTTTGTATGCACAAAACAGGCTTAGCTGCTTATTTTGCCAGCTGAAATGAATGAGTCTTAATTTAAATGGTTTTGTCTGCCCATACAGAGGTCAAAGGAACAAAACTCCTACTTTTAAAATAAAAAATTAAAGGAAAAGTTTATCTTCTTTGTCCCAAACATGCTTGGAATGTAGATCTAGTGTCATCATCATGTAACTAATGCAATTTTAGTATTTACCTTAAGGCCTGATGTTTTACCCGTGTATAAATAAAGTTAAATCAATCAATCAATCAATCGATCGATCGATCGATCGATCAATCAATCAATCAGTCAATCAATCATTGTTGCCACCTTGTATTTTGGTTTTCTAATGTAAACCTTTTTTCATATTGCACTTCAAACTCTTTAGATAATTGATGGCAACAAAATAGGCCATTTCCGAGTTGCCTTTTTTCCTCTGTGTCAAAACGTGTTTTTGTGTGAAACCATTCATGTGTGCTCCCTACAGGTTCATTTTCGCGCAAACTCATTTTCATATGAAAGGTTTTGCACGAAGACTCGTTTTGAAACCGAGGCACAAGGTAGCTCGTAAATGATGTATTCATTAGAATTGGATTTGAGTCTTGTGCATTGGATCGCTGTGTCGTGACTGTCGCCACGTTTTGATTTGTGATAACTGCCGAGTGTTTAACTCTGTCTTTTCACCATTTTGTTTCGTAGAACCTGACTGATGACTTGAAATCAGAGCTTAGTGGAAAGTTTCAGGATGCCGCCATTGCTTTGATGTCGGTTCCGGAATTTTACGATGCTACTTCACTTCATGATGCCATGTCGGTGAGTGTCTCCATGGTAGCTATTCTGTTCTGTTGTTGTTTTTTTTTTCTTTCCCTGTTCAGGATTTCCCTCAGTCAAGAGACATGTGCAATACAATACAATACAATTTGAGCCCGTGATATCTGAGAAATTTCTCTCAACAAAATCTCGAACATGTTCAAATTCAACGCTTAAGGAAGTCATAAATTAACTCTGTTTTAGACAGTTAATGTAGTTTACACTGTCATTTTCAAGAGGACGCTCCTGGAAACCACCTGTAAGTGATTGGAGGCCTCTTCTTAAAATTTGAGTTTATTATGATTATAGTATTAAGGCAAATAAGTTAAAAATCGGCAGATTTCAACTTCGTCCTCATTATTATGGCTAAATTTCATTTTGCCATGTTATGCTTGTGGTATATATCCGTATATGTTTAATTTTAGGCACTTTTGGTGCATTTCGGAAAACAAAACTGCTACTGAATTCCACAAGTCAAGTTATCGGTTAACGATTTCAAACGAACCATAGTAATGAAATCAATATTCCGTTATTGGGGTTCCAAAACTGATTTGGCCGGAAATTCTTCATCCTAAGGGGCTGACATCATGTAATATCAGCCTGCTAAGGATATATTGATGTAGCTGTATGTCCTTTATTAATTTATAGGGACTCGGAACTGACGAGCAAGTTCTTATAGAGATTTTATGTTCACGCAGTTATGAGGTTGGTGTTACCGTACCTTTGTATTGTAACGTTTTTTTACTCTCAAACATGCACAAATTCAACACTGAAGGAAGTCTTAAATAAGCTTATAATGAAAGTTGAAAGATGACTTAATTGGATTTTATTCAGACGTATTATGAACGTAGGTTTGATTCGGCAGTCTACAACTCTTGAGTCTTTAACCAACGTTGTGCTGTCTGCGTCAAACAGTGTAAGTACGATACTTATTCAGTGTTCATTTAAATTTGATGTTTGCACAAACTAAAAATGAATGTCTTACTATTTACCACAGGAACTTCAACTCGTCAAGTCAGCGTACACACAAAGTAAGTGGTTGTATTTTTAAGCTGTGATTTTGTTTTTTTGTGTGTGTTCTGGACTGGACCCCTGTCCTTTTTCTACCAACGTGCTTTGAGTTATTGGTGTTTTTTTTTCTTTGCAGTTTACAGTGGAAAAGATGTCCTTAAAAAAATCAAGGAAGACACAGGGGGAGAATTCCGGACCACCTTAATGAACTTGATAGAGGTAAGACCTTATTGGCTGCTGCCCCAGAACTCAGACTGACACCTTTGTGATTGGACGAGTTTGTGCCAAGTAACTGACGTCACAACTTGCCGAGTACTCGCGAGTGCTTGTGGTAGTCTTTGATTGGGTAATGAAGAGCGCAAACTTAGCGAATGCCTCAACGAAGATTTGCCGAAAACTACACCAGCATTTTCATTGTATGTTAAACATGAAGTTGATCACAATGTCTTATTTCACAGAAAAAACGAGATAGCAAAGAAAAAGTTAATGAGAGCCTTGCCAAAGAGGATGCCAAGAAACTATTCGAGGTAAACAATGTTACTGAAATTCACTGTTGGAATGATTTAGAAGCGTAGAAATTGAGAGCGTTTTTTAATCCACTGTTGAAATATTTTCATAATGAAAGAAGCTTTGTGATATCGTGCGTCAGCTTCGCTCTCTCTGACAAAAACTTCACAATTTCGGGCGGAGTTCTAATTCATCATGTTTTTGGTGCATGTTTTTGTGGGTCTTGTAGACGTCCTAGCCGTGCTGTAATACTCATTTCAGTGATCATTGTTTTTCATTCTTCTTTCAGGCAGGACAAGGGAAGAAAGGACCCGACAAAGCAGTGCTTGTTGAAATTCTAACAAGCAGAAATTTCGCACAACTACGAGCCACTTTGGACGCCTACAAAACCGTGAGTATGAAAGATTATTTTTGTGCGATTCACTTTGTGTTGTTGTCGTTAAGTGCTAATTTTCACAGTCATTTGCAGTTCTTACATCTTAAGTATAGTATTGTCAGTGAAGTTTTCAAAATAATAAAGAAAGCCAGTTTTGTTGAAAAACTTTCTCACGTTAGACCATCTTGTTATCAGTTTCATCCTCTTCACCTTTCGTCATCCTAGCTTCCTAAAGGCTGGTTTTCACCAGCGACGGAGTCGTCGTCGAAGTCGTAAGAGCGCTTACGGCCTAGTGAAAATCGAAAATCGGAGTCGTGAGCGAAGTCATAAGCTCGACGGAATCGGAGTCGGAAGAATCAGAACGTTCCCCGTTTCTTCCGATTCCGTCTACGACTCCGTCGGTTATGATCCAGTGAAAACAAAATTGTCCGAGTCGGAAGCAGAAGAGCGGAAGAATTAACCAATCACAAGGCCTGGAAAGGAGTATTGTGATTGGTTTATTCTTCCGTTTCTGCTTCTGACTCCGACAAACTAGTTTTCACTGAATCACAAGCGACGGAGTCGTAAACGGAATCAGTGTTCTGCTTCCGACTCCGTCGCTTTAATTTTCACCAGATCATATCGCTCTACGCTTCGACTACTCCGACTCCGAGTACGTCGCTAGTGAAAACCAGCCTTAATCGCTTTTTGCAGACTCTTTAGAGCAGTCTTGTTTCTGTCATTTATCGAGCATTTGCCCAGAAAGTGAACCATCCGGCATTGATGGGATTATAGTGGAACTTGGAGGATAAGCAGACATGCTCATCATTTTGGGCCCGCTGGCCGTTCATGTAGTATCTAAGTGGAGCATTTGAGTGTTTTGTTTTATTAACTGTCTAATTCATCTGTAGTTGGCTAATGGTGATCTCCTGGAATTCATCAACGAACATTTGAGTGGGGATTTACGCAATGCCTTGAAGGCGATAGGTAAGAACAGCCAAAGTTTTTGAACGGCAAGCACTCGCTGATTTCTCTTAGCAACAAGTGAAAAACGGCCACCTCTCCACAACGGCAACGGCCATCTGCCAAAATAACCTCTCCACAACGGCCAGTTAATCAGTCTGACAAACGGTTTATACGAAACCCCATTTTTTTATTGTAAAAGATCATCAAACTCTATCCGTACCGCGCGTAGTTAGTCTCTGTTTCTGTTTCTGTTTGTTTTCTGTTGTACTGATACATTTTGATTATATTTGCTAAAATAAGTCTGCAAACCCCCCCTCTCCCCCCCCCCAAAAAAAACAAACCGATGTCATGTTACACCCCTCCCTCCCCATAACGGCCACCTCTCTACAGCGACCATTTTCCACTGTCCACAAGGTGGCCCCAAGGTGGCCGTTGTGGAGAGGTTTGACTGTAGTAAGTTAGTTTTCAATCCTGTAATTCATTATTTTTCTCTTGTCTTTTCAGTTCGATGTGCACAAGACTCTCCGCTTTTCTTTACCGAGGTTTTGGAAAAAGCGCTTGACAAATCCAACAGCAAAACTGTCACTCGTGTGCTGGTTACAAGATCAGAGGTGAGTCAGACTGGTCCGATAAAATCAGAAAGGCAAAACACTTGCGAAGCCGCGGAGTTTTGAAATGTTGACGATTTTGTTTCCACATTCACACTTCTTAAAGAAAAGTCTCAGCATTTTTTTACCGACCAAATTAAACGTAGATGTAGATGTTATAAGGATTTACACTACGAGTACATACATGTGAAAAGAATTTTCAAATATCAAGAACAGTGTAAATCCATTGCTCGAGCTTTCATACAATTACTCATTTATTATATGGTGTAAATTAAAAATTAACTAAAATTGATCGGCTCTACGCCAGTTACAATGAAGTAATTTTCTTTGTGATATAATCACTTTGACTCTTTACCTGGTAATAAGTTCAAGTGAGCCGGTCATGAAAACAACGAACCTCGTGACGCGAAGTCTCTTGACTGCAAACTAAGTTCTCCCAATGCAAATTATAGGAAATGCGTGATAAGCAGTGAAGAGAATTACTAATTTGATCTTGTGCTCTTGGTTTATTTTCAGACGGATCTGGCCGACATCAAGACTCAATACGAGAAGAAGACTGGACAGCCACTTAAAGACGTTGTCGTCAAGAAAATGAGAGGAGACCTGGAAAAAATTCTTTTACAGATTCTGGGCAACTGAGAAAACGAATTTTAAACTAAATCTTGGCATCATTTGGCGAGGTTTCGTCGCCAGCGAAGGACAGCTGTAGTTTCCATATTTCCAGTTAGTTTTCTGTGAAGTCATGGGACCTACAGCTGTTTTTTTTTCTGAGCAATAATTAAATGTAGATTAAGTAATACAAATTCTAAACCAAAGCTTTTTCATGTTTATGGTGCTTTACCGTTTCTCGTCCTACTAAATGTGAAAATCTCGAGATTTTAGTATTTGGTCTCCGGTGTACATCAGTGTTGTCTGCATTCTCGTCCCCAGAACCAATTTAATCTCGTAACCGTGGGGGACTTGACTCGAGTTTTGTCGTCGGTGCCCTGTAGCTATTTTATTATAGAAACAAGACGCATCACGTGATAAAAACATCTGAACATAAAAAAACTTTCAAACATATCGTTATATCGTACGAAATTACAATAATGTCGAGCACTGGAAGATTCTACAGTGCTTCAAATATTTTTGAATTGTGCCACTTAAATAAGTTAGGCTTTGTATTAAATTATGTAGTTAAAATGCCATGTTGGGGCAAGTGAGAAATGCTCGGTCGATCATGATAAATTTACCAGAAAACTTAACTAGTAAATGGGTTAAAAGGCGACAAATTAATATAAAGTACTCTGCGAGTAATTCTATTTTGAGGCCGCAGCTATTGTCTTATAATTAATTTTGGGAAGAAATTCGATGTTTAGTTTGCTCTTTTGGAAGCATTTGGTTCAACAATCGAGAAACAGTTTTTCAGTGTCAATGGTGGGTGTGGTAATTTTCTTTCGCTGATTTTAACAACTTATTTTTTCATGGAAAGTCAATGTTACAGTTGAAAGTTTTGTCTGATGGTTGAATATTGGAGGAGCGTTCTTGGCATAATTTAGAGAGGTATCGGTAGTATGGGGCATAGTGCAGATCCAAGATGTTCAAGAGATGGAGTCCGAGATTCATTTATAGTTTTGCCAGAGTAAAACGCTACATGGGCAAAACTCAAACGGACGGAACAAGTAACTTTAAAGTGGCGAGTCCCTTCTCTTCAGCTGGAATGAGCGCGCGGTTTTCGGTCAGAGAAGTTCCGTAGCAACATCGCATATTCTAAGACATTATGCTGACAAGAGAACTCGCTGAATTGTCGTAAGTGCTCGCGAAATTTTTTGGTTGGAGAATTAAGAATTTGAGACCTTGTGTCCAAGAATCTTTGTTGAAAAGCGTGCTGGTTTCCCGTTCAATGTAAACTGTTTTTACATCTGGCAAAACGAAATGGCCAAAAGTAATTAAGACCAGATACGTTTCGTTGTATTTTGTATGTAGCGGATAACAAATATCGCTTCATTCATACGATACGTAAAATGCGCAAACTAAGACTGTCGTGTTATTGTTTGCGCTGTAAGTGTAATGTTAATGTCTGAAATTAATTAAATCCACCTTTCCTAATTTTCCCGTTATTTTGATTGTTGCTTTTGAAGGAAGAATGGCTGGTTGCACCCCTCTATCGGGGGATTGGGGGCGAGGCGGCTGGGGACGACAGTTTAGAAGGCGAACTTTTTTCTCTTGGGTTGTGGGAGTTGGGGGAATCAGCAGTATAAAACGGGGGAAATATACTT